TCTTGAATACATAACCAAGTGATAACACCTTTGCTGTTTTCACGACACTTTCGATATTGATAACCATCGTAGACCAAGGAAGGCTTTCCTTTTGCTGTTTCGATAATTTCCATTTTCGAAAAATGTAACGTTAAGCCGTTAAGGTAACAAATCTTGACTTCACTTCTTAAAATCGCAAGGATTAATGTTATATATTTTGAAAAACCTAACTGTAAATAGGGTTACTACCACCTCTTATTATGTTATTGGTTGATAATTTATTATTACCTAGTTCATTATAGTAGATAATTAAAAATAAATACCTACCTAATTATTATGATTGTTACTATTGTTGTCTATCGGAACATCATTCCATTTCTTTTAAATAGATTCAACCGAAATAAATAAAATGTAGTTGTTCGCAAATGGACCTATAATTATTAAAAGCACCTGGATCTTAATACGAGTGTTTGCAAATAACATCAAAATGTGTTTGTTCGCATCTGAAACGTTCGCAAGTAAGACGACACCGAACCGATGCAGGTTCCCTTGGGTTTACCCTGATGTATGTAATCGTTTAATTGTGGTTCTGATACGAACAGGTTTTTTAACATCGTTGGGCACATTTCTGCATCTATATCGAATTGACACTATTCAGCATCCGATGGTTGACACTATTGCAGCACCCAATGAAGAGTGAGCCCTGTGTTTGATTGATTTATTCAAATATTCTATTTATACAAAATCTATTTACATGGTTCTTATGAGAATAGGTGGTTAGAAAATTACATTTGCGTATGTAAATGTCTTTCATCTACTTGGTTGCATAGTATCGCGATTTTACTATGCTAGTGAATCTCTTATAGTTTTTTAATTGTTACATTGATATACCTAGTATTCCCACAAGTATTTATAATCTGCTAAGCCACCAACACTGCAAAGGAATTACTTCCTTATTAGACGATTTCTGTGATTATAGCGAAGAATAAGGGGAACGGTTCCATCAGAAAATTGAGAATATCACGAAAAGATGTCAACGTCGTTGGGATCGCCATATGATGACAGACTACTGCTGGAACTTGCAGACTGCTCGAACCAAAAAAAACACATAAAACATTAAATTCAAAATGTTTTTCTTCACTCTTATTGAAATGATTTTGTTTTTTATTTTATTTACATTTTGTATCATTTACAGCACTTTGTTAGTTTGAAGTCATTTGATAATTTTAAAATAATCGTTTTAAAAAATACTTTTTTTTTAAATTTAATTTCCAGTATAAATGGTTTGCCTTTATCTCAAAAAAATAGAGTCAATTCAACAAAAATTTTATTATTTTCGTATTTAGCAGACCAAAGTTATTTAAAGTTGACTAATAAATCCCATGTCGCAGAATCAGTGTTCCACTGTGTAACAGATTAAGAAGTAATCAACTAAACGAAAAGAGAGATATAATTTAACTGTTTTTCAGAACAAGTTTTTCTGCTGTTTCGATTAAATTAAGAAATTGTTGCTTTTGTATTTAGATTAACTTTTTTTCTCTTCCTATTCAAAATTCAGAGTAGGTTTAAGAACTTTATAGTTTTCAGTTTAGTTAGTATTTATCTTATCCAGTAGAGAGGTGTAAAAATAAAAGCCATCACATATTTAAAACAATAAAAAAATAAGAGCGTTTAGTGTGGTGTGTAAGGTCTTTCAGTGTTTCTGTCTGATGCTATCTTTTAAGACATCCCGTATATTTTTAAAATTTATTGTACGCGATTTATTTGACAAGTATAAGAAAGTGCTTTTTGCTGGCATATTTTTAGATTCCTTCGGGACAAGAAAGAGAATATTACATTAAGTTTCCTTTAGATATGGCGAAAGTTTCCTTTTTGTCAAATGCAGCGACCTTTACGTAGGCTTTCAACGCTTTTAGTGGGTAATCTTAATGAACGACTACCATTTCATATAAAAGGAAATGCGAATTTTGAAAGTTGAAATACATTTAAAAATAAAATACTGAATAAATTTTTAAAAAGAACATTTCATTCCTTCATTTTTTTCCTCATTTTCAAAATTATCGGCAGAAGAACCTTTGAGATTAGATATTAAATCATTAGGTTAATTAAATAGTTACTGCTAAATCATTTCGACCATTTTATGCTGTTATGATCTTTCGTAATTTTTTCTTGAACTACTTAATGTTGACTTGTAATGTAACACCTATTGATATGTTCCTCGAATTAAGAATGAGTGCACCATCTTGCGGTTCTTCCATTCGATTGTTGGGTTTAGAGCAATTTTAAAAAAAAATCGATTTAGACCGATTTCATAACGATTCTTTTGACAACACTAGTTTAGCGACTTGTAATCAACGCCATTTTTTGATAATTATATGAGGAATACAAAGAATAAAAAACATCTAAAAAATGAATCGCAGAGGAAATATTTCGCAAAAAAATCTTTTTCTTTTTCACTAATTGTTAAATTAAGATATGTTGCCTCAACATCCCAGACTGGATAACTAAATTCGGTATCAATGTAATTTTTTACTAATTTACTAAAAATAGTAATTGAAATCGTAATCGTTATTCAGCTATACTTACCCAGTGAATAACATTTGAATTATTACTTGTACTAACGAAGACAATATAAAAACTATTGATATTTTTTCAGAAACTGAAGCAATTTGCAAGTGATATTCAGTACATTATTACCATTAAATACAATTTTAGTCCCTTTAGAGTCATTCTTTCATTGTAGTACTTGACTCGAAGTATATATTGCAACAAAACAAGTACAAAAGAAATAGGTACATGGAGATCACTTTGACATAAAAAATGGCTCACAATTTTCCTTGGAATGGGGTTGAAATTCAATCAAGAAAAGGAAAAAAGGACACAATTTTTGTTTGTGAATATTTCACTACCCTCAGTCGTCAAAAGGATCCGTGCCGAAATCTTTTTCGAAATTTTATACAGTTGCTTAAACAATATCAGTTCTACAACAAAGTGTGACTTTCTTTGAAAAAGCTTAAGATTACATTTTTCCTGCTTGTGTAGTAGGAAACGTTGTGAGTATTTCCTGAAGAGTATACACATTGTTGAATATACATAATATACATACAATAAGGAAAAGAAGCGAAGCTGAAACATGAAAAAAACTATCACTTCTTCAAGTCCTTTTATCAGAAAAAATGAAATCTCATCTAACCGAATAATCTTCAAATCTCCTATCATCCACACCTAACCACCCTTATAGAACAAAAGATAAACGCCAAAAACTCTTGGATCATCAAGTCCACAGGCAGTCCCGTCAAGATACTTTCCTCTTCAGGGTCATTTCCAACTGCCGTAAAT